CTGGATGCCCCCCCAAATAAAGGTGGCACCAGGGCTTTTTTTGTGGAAAAAGCCCAGCAGGAACTCATTAGCATAACAGGCCACACCTGACAGCAGAAACTCATTAGCATATTAGGCCACACCCCGACAGTACAGTTCATTAGCAAATTAGGCCACACCCCATGCCTTCCCCTGGCTTGCTCGGTGCCCCATGGCTGTGGGGAGCCCAGGCAAGCCCCCACGAAGGGAAGGGAAGGGAAGGTAGTTTAAACTGCTTTCCCTTGGCTTGCCCGGGCTGCAGGGAGCCCGGTCAAGCCGACCCTCAGACAGGCTGGGGAATATCTGAAGTTTTAAGGGTTTGGCAAACCACCTCTGAACATCTCTCACATTGGAAACCCTACGGGGATCACTATTAGCCGCAACTTGACGACACTTTTCACCATCACCAGCAGTCGCCACTTGCAGATATCCTTTCCAAACTCGTTGTGAAGTCTCTTTTACATTTTACTGCTCTTGGCATGTTTATCCATAGATTGAATAATTATGGCCCCTGCCACACGATGGGGAAAGGGACGGGCTGAAGCGCGGCTTTTGAAAGCCGCACCAAAAGAAACGCCGCGGCGGGATCACATTGATCCCCTGAGCTGCGGCGCTTTCCTTCCCCGGCACGCCGCAGCTCAGGGGATCAATGTGATCTCGCCGCAGCGCTTTCCTTCCCCGGCACGATCAGATGCCGGGGGAAGAGATGGAGGGGAACGGGAGACTGCCGAACTGCACATGTCTGAGCATGCACAGTTCAGGCAGGAGCCGGGGATGCGCCGGCAGAAAGACAGTCCGGCGATCCCATGGCCGGCGTTGATGCGGCCGTTGTGGATGAACCACCTCGGTAGGTGGTTCATTTTTGATGCGTCTCTTCGGGGGAAGGGCCGGATCGGGGGCGGGTGCGCAACGCTGCCCAGATGTTGCAGTGGGATCGCGCCCGTATGCTCCGGCCCCGATCCGGCCCACTCCCAGCCCAAAACCCCTCGTGTGGACAGGGCCTATGATGATCAGGGCTATTTTGGGGGAGGAACGCACCGGAACGGAGTTCCGGCTGGCTTCAGTGTTGGCCACGCCCACTACAGCCAAAACCTCTGCATGTGTAGCTACAGAGGAAAGGCCTGGAGAGTGACCCCTCCCCAGCGACCTCAAGGCGGACAGGCCAAGGGGCCCCCTGAAAGGATCGGGGAGGCAGAAAACCATAGATTTATTTATTTATTTATTTGATGATTTATACCCCACCTTACCCCACCAGAGCAGGCTCAGGGCGGCTTACATGTTGTCAACCTTCATCTGGCACAAGGAGCATTCCGCCAACGGAAAAGGCATTTGGGAAGAGCCTCTTATGTTGGAGAAAGGTGCTTTGGGCTAGAGGAAAGCTTCAAACCTAGCTGAGCAGAGGGGTGGAATATAAGGATGTAAGATTGTGTGCTAATTTGGTATCAGACACGGTGTTACTGAATGGGTTATTCCCGCAGCATTATCTCAGTGATGCCACTGGAATCATAGCATATTGATGGTAATATAATAGCTCAGAATGCCTTTCCCAGCATTAAAAGGAATGCCAACTACCGAAAAGAAATGAATGAAGTTCTTTATAAGATTATGCATGGGATAGAGCAGGTCAAGAAAGAAGCACTTTTCTCCCTTTCTCACAATACAAGAACTCGTGGGCACTCCATGAGATTGCTGAGCAGTCGGGTTAGGACAGATAAAAGGAAGTACTTCTTCACCCAAAGAGTGATTAACACATGGAACTCACTGCCACAGGAAGTGGCGGCGGCTACAAGCATGGACAGCTTCAAGAGGGAATTAGATAAGCATATGGAGCAGAGGTCCATCAGTGGCTACTAGCCACAAGGTATAGATAGGAACTCTCAGTCTGGGGCAAGGGATGCTCTGTATTCTTGGTTCTTGGGGGGGGGAGGGGACAGTGGGAGGGGCTTCTAGGGTCCTGGCCCCACTGCTGGACCTCCTGATGGCACTTGGTGTTTTTGGCCACTATGGGACAGAGTGTTGGACTGGATGGGCCACTGGCCCGATCCAACATTGGCTTCTCTTATGTTCTCTTATGTTCTTGTGATTTTATGCATTTCTCATATTGTCATCGTAGCATTTTCTTTGGAGGTCATATCTGCCCCTTTTCCAATGTGCCTGATACAAATCAAAAGTCTGAAACCATGATTCTGTGGGGAAGCTCCTATTTTGTGAATTGTGTGCCGGGTGATTGCATGAGTATTGCCCTGCTCCTGAGGATTTACACACACACACACACACACGGCTGCCAGCTCTGAGTTGGGAAGTACCTGGACATTTGGGAGGTAGACCCTGGGGAGGATGGGGAAGGGGAGGAGACCAGCAGGGTCCATAGCTACAGTGGGGCTATTTGAGGCTCCGCCCCCTCTCTTAAAAGCACAGCTCCACAGGAATTTGTCCAGAAATATGCATTTTAAAGTTATTTTTTAATATTTGTTTAAAGGTGGAGGTGGGGTTGTGTGGCTATTGTTTGTAGGAAGGAGGGGTCCGTGTTTGCTGTCTGGAGGGGCTAGAATCTTTGCATAAGGGGTGTAAGAGGAAATCAGAAGGTGATCCCTGTTTAGAAAATGATGCCTGCTCTTAAAAGTACAGTTGTGTACAGACAGAAAAATAATGGCAGCCCCACCAGGAAAAAAAAAATTGTCCCACATGCTACAAAATCCTGGCTACGGGCCTGGGGTCCACCCTCCAAAGCGGCCATTTTCACCAGGGGAACTGATCTCTGTTTTCTGGAGATCAGTTGTAACACTACAAGATCTTCAGGTGCCTCCTGAAGTCTGGCAACCCTATTTCTGTAACCGAGTTATTAGCCCAGGTTGTGAAATTACAGTGCGAGAAATCTAAAATACACCAGTCGCTTCGGGGCAGAAGTGAATCTTGTGTATAGTAGAGATACTGCGTGGGTTTAGGAAGGGCAGATAAAAATAATAGTAATTTTACTCCCCCTTTTATATTTTTTATATATATGTATTAGTTAATTAACAAAATAGGAAGTCGTATATTTGCAGATCTTGAAATAGAATCGCCAACCGTGTGGCTTAACCACACGGATCTTTTAATAGAAGAAGCGGTTGCCTAATACTTCCCCACCAGAAATGTTCAGATTAAGCGCGCTGTTCGATGGCAGCCAGCAGAGTCTCCAAAACAGGAAGCGAAGCCTCTCTCTGCTCACTGCCCCCTTTCCTTGTTTAAATCGACGTGATAATTCATTACAGATTCTTTTTTCCCCCCTGTTTCTTTGACAGAGCGCCTACCACAGAAACGGGATGACTTTTCTTGCTTGCTAATGTGGATGTGGCCAGAGCAGCCGGAAAGGCAGAGTTATATTAAGGTGTGTTTTTTTTCTTCCTCTCTCTCTGTCCCCTTCACCAAGGGGGGGGAATAAATAATAATAACAATAATAAAAACCTCCACTGCCTGCGTGTGTGGTGTTTTTTTTGTTCTGCCTTGTTTTTTTGGTGACTGTCAACTAGCTGACTCCATCTCTTTCCCGGCCCGCTCAGTCACAGCTCATGTTTTCTAGATGGAACACTATGCTAATTAATGGCAGGATGTTTGGGATATTGTGTAGGTGGATGAGAATGCGGGTCACAGGATTTCAGAATTTCCAGTAGATTTATTGCCGGCAGCCCACACATCTCAACTTATTTGCCTTTTTTTGGGTTAATTTAAGCTCATTGCTACATGTCCTTTTATAAGGCAGATTTAGGACCCCCCCCCCAACCCTGGATGTTATTTGGATTGTTCATGAAATCAGTTATGTTGTTTGTTTTTTCTAATCATGGAAGAATTGGGGGTGGGGACTTGTTGATTAGAAATAAGGTTGCCAGCCCTGGATTGGGAAATACCCAGACATTTGGGGGGTGGAGTTTGGGGAGGGGAGGGACCTCCGCAGGGTATAATGTCATACAGTCCATCTTCCAAAGCATCCATTTCTCCAGGGGGAGTGATCTCTGACATCTGGAGACCACTTATAATTCTGGGAGATCTGCCACCACCTGGACGTTGGCACCCTACTAAGAAAGCTGTTAGCTGGTCTGTATAGTTTAAAAAAAATCGCACGCAGTGTTTAAAGACAGGAGTAAGGAGCCCAAAGTACTAAATGAAAATCTCAGCCCAGCTGTGAACCTACTGGGCAAGTCACCATATTTCAGCCTTTTTTTGCTCTGAGCCCAAATCATCACTTCACAGTGGGGCACTATCTGGATCACACCTGAAGCCGAGAGACCGCAGATTTACCTGCCGTGTAAAGTCAAATACCTTTAATGGCATAGCAGTAAGATACATAGATATACAATAACAATGTATGGATATTTAGGAACATAATAAACAATAGGAATCATTCCTTTACGAGAATAGTTCGAACTTTGACTGCTTCGGCAAGAAACTTGGCCACGAAAGCTGTAATATTAGGATTAGCATCCTTTGGTAGATACTGAATAGATTTTTTCCCTATTAGAACTAAAATTAGGAGGAAATGAAGATGACTACAATTCTTTGCGTATGGCTGAGTGAAATTGACAGTCAAAAATAATATGATATACTGAATCCACAGATTTTAAAGGACAAGATCATAACCTTTCATGTAGGGGGATTTTATTAAACCGACCTGAGTGCATTTTTGAAGGGAAAACATTTAGATGGGCTAATGTAAAGGCTCTACGGTGTGAAGGCTGAACTAAGTTGCGGAGATAATGGGCCATCTGGCCATATTGAATTGGGAGATTCAACTGAGCCTGAGAAAGTATGCGATATTGTGCAGGACATAACATTTGGAGTTCAAGGGCAAGCAGTCTCCATTTGATAATCGGGAAAATACAGACTTCATCCAGTGAACAGAAATATTCTAAGTAGAAGCCGATTTGACTAATTTTCTTCTCAATATATGCCAACCAGTTTGCGCTATAAGCATCGTTTTTAAAATGTGAGAGTAAAGAATTTGGTGGTGATCTGAAGTGTATTTTCAACCAATATTTAAAAGTTAATAACCAACGTTTAGTATCTTTAAAATGTTGGCCCAATTCTAAACAAAGAGAGGAATATGGAATACAGTTAGAAACGCCTAGAAGTTGGCGAAAAAGACAGGCCTGTAGTCTTTCAAGATTGCTTGTATCTCCATGTAAGTCACTGTTTTAGACTAGATTCTTTCAAGTCAAGAGGAGTATGCCGAGACAGAGGGAGTAGAATCCTTTGAGGGCAGGTAACCGGTGCCGTTTCCCAAGACGGAAATGCTTCCCTGGTTACTTTAAGCCATAGTAGAGGGAAAAGACAGGCATAAGAGGCACGCCTGTCTTTTTTCCCACTGAGATTTAAGGAGCAAGGGTGGGGCATTTTGACTGGGGAAATAGTACAGAGAAGGGGGGATAGGAAAAAATGTTCCCCAGCACCACCCCCATCTACATCTTCCTCCTACCCCTTCTCTTAAGTCCTTTTGGGGGCCCAGTGACACATCTGAAGCGACAGAACTCCAACATGATGTGTAGCTTGACCTTGACCCTTTTGCATTTCCAGTAAATGTTTCCAGCCACAAGACTGAATCATGCTTCCAGTTTTAACGTGGGGGGAAATAGTGGCTTTACTCTCAGAAGAATGTATACCACTGAGAACCATGCGTACCACCACTACCCCAATACTTTGGACTTTGCCAATGGTGCTGAAATTGTGGGCGTTTGGACCATGCCCAGGATCAGATAACAAACAAGGCCGACCAACATTAAAATGCAAGCCTCCATGAGGAACGGGATAACTGGAAACAGTCATATCTTACTAGTAACTGAAACAAGGCTTAAATTTGTTGACACACTTCTCTTGTGCTTTCAATACGTCATTAAATCAAACCTCCATCCCATCCCACGTATGGTCTGCTGAAGACCCACATATTCGTATCTTTTCAGTTGGTGCTGGCCAGCCTCTTTCCCAGCCCATCTCATGCATTGCCTTTCCCTCCATCCTATCTGTATTATCCCTACGGGATTCTCTTTGTTCTACAGCAAGGCTGCAGCGAGGCAGAGCACAGGCTCTGTAGGGAACAAGGAAGAGTCTCTGGCTGTCACTCTAACTCCTAAACCCTCCTACCCAGAGCAACCTATGGACAAATTTATTCATTCATTTCATTTTTATATCTCTTCTCTCTAGACCTCCCTCCCTTCCTCCCTTTTCTGTACCTCCTCTCTTCAGCTAAGAGCTCAAAGCGGTTTACAGAATGAACAATTACATCAATTAAAAACAGAACAAAGTTCAAGTCCAATGGCACCTTTAAGACCAACATTTTATTCAAGGTATAAGCTTTCGTGGGCACACACACTTCTTCAGATACGTTGAAATGGAAGTTACAAGTCCATCATGTAGGCAGAGGGTGAGCAGATTAGCATACAGCATAATAAAGGTGTTTAACAGATGCAAGGACCAAATTGGAATAACAAGCTTAGTTTATATGGTCACCATTTGTTTGGGTTTAATTCCGGAAGGAAACATAAGAAAGGGAGGGAGGGAGGGAGGGAGGGAGGGAGGAAGGAAGGAAGGAAGGAAGGAAGGAAGGAAGGAAGGAAGGAAGGAAGGAAGGAAGGAAGGAAGGAAGGAAATGATAGACAGACCGACAGACAGACACACTGCTGCTTCAGACCAACATGGCTACGTACCCAATTAAAACAGATAACATCCAATATATCAAAATAAATACAAAAATAATATAATAAATATTTGGTAACATAGAATCATATAAAATAATAGTAAAAAGCACAGTAGCACCGTTAACGAACTTTATTGTAGCATAAGCTTTTGAGAAACACAGTATCTGATGAAGAGAGCTGTGTTTCTCGAAAGCTTTATTGTGGCATAAACTGGCCAACCTTTAAAACTGAAATTATGGCTCTCGGTCTTGTGACACACGGCGGTCAATCTCTTCGATAGCATTCTACTGTCCATCATGGCTTTCTTCTACGCCAGAAGACCTGCTTTGGCGTGCCGTTCTTCTGGAGCTCATCTGCATGTTAATGAAATTAAAATATTGTGTTGCAAATGCAGCATATTGAAAATAGAGAGAAGCGTCTTGGAGCTGTCTGTGCTCGTTGAAATGTATGATTAAACTTTTCTTTTTATCATCATTTCTTATTTCCCTTGGCATCCGTAATGATGGAAAATTATACGCTTGCCGTAAACATCCAGAACTTTCAGAGAGGACACCAGCATTTATTGTATTTGGTTTCGATCTTACAGGCACATCGGGCAGAAGAACGGGAATAAAAATTCCTTCTCGGGCTGTCTCTCCCGGATTTCACATTTTTTTTAAAAAACGCATAAGCACGAAAAGCTCTGGCAATTTCTTTCTTACCCGTACGCTTACAGTCCCAAAGAATGAAGACTCAATATATATTTCTCTCCGAAATGTGACAGATTATGTTTTTGTTGGTCTGCTGTATATTTGTCTATCTTGAACATTCTGACAGGCAATTATTTATAAAATCTAGGTTTGCCCAGTAAGCCCATATAATAACCTTTCTCTTCTCTCCATAAGCCAAGAAGCAAAAAAACCATAAGGAAAACAAGCACCGCTTTGTCTCACTATCTTGGACCAGCCGGTATATATTTGCATAATAGGTGAATGGAACATTCTTTGAACCTTTCACTTTTGCTGTATCACCTCATCACAAACCTTTATCCGTATCCCCCGATCCTTTAAATGCTGATGGGCTGAAATAACAAAAATCGTTTTGGGACTCACTGCCACATAATATATTTACATATATGTACATAACAGAGCCGCCTTCTACTGAATCAGACCATTGGCCGTCAAGGTTGACTCAGACTGGCAATAGCTATCCAGGGTCTCAGGTTTTTCATATCGCCTCCTGCCTGGTCCTTTTAGCTGGAGATGCCGAGGGATTGAACCTGGGACCTTCTGCATGCAAAGCAGATGCCCCGCCACTGAGCCACAGTCCCTCCCTAGGGGTGTCATTCGCTATAAATGAGAGACGGGATGGGGGAATGTCATTTACCCTGTTGTATCGTTACCAGTCTTTTGCTCGTGGTTGACAGAGGTGACAACCCAAAACATCACAGTAGTCCACATCCAGAAATCGCAAGAGTCCTCGGTTTGTAGCAGACATTCGTGCAGCTTTTTTGTTATGGCTCTATGCTCCTTCTTCCTGATGCCTTGTTTTTTGGGAAGTCTTTTGTCGGACTCCAGGTTGCCATGATATCCTTCCCAGAAACCAGGGTCCTAAACCAGGGTTCTCCCGGCCTGGATAGCCCAGGCTAGGCCAGTCTCATCAGATCTGAGAAGATAATCAACGTTGGCCCTGGTTAGTATTTGGATTGGAGACCACCAGTGAAGTCTAGGGCCATGACGCAGAGTCGGGCA